TACTATGCATTCATGTATACATTCATTTGCTCATTCCTTCATCCATTCTCTCTTATTTAGAACCTGGCAGTAAGCTACATGTGAAGCAATTGCCAAAGCGGACAAATCTATGCCCTCATGAACAGAGAAGAAGGAGAGGCAGATACAAAACAAATAATATAAAATTATGCACTGTGAAGAATGCCAATGGGAAAATTGGGTTGAGGGATGGTTGATGATGGATTTGGGCAATGCCTGTTTAAGTGAGTGCTATTTCTTAAAAGTAATATTGGAGATACAATTTTGATATTGAAACTTTATTGCTTTTGTTTCTGTCTTATTTGTTCAGAACCTACATAGATCTACCTACAAGATGAGCAAACGTGCTTGTCACCGGATGTAGAGGGTTGGGATAGCCCCAAGGTACAGTTTGGGAGCACAGTCAGAAGATGCTCAGTGGGAAAAGTTTGGCCATTCCATGATGGGCTTGTGATTAAGTGGAATCAGTTGTAAGATGCAGACAGAAGTTCACTAAAGCTTCATTTAGGTAGCGACATTCTTACCAGGCTCTGCTTGCATATCCAGGAACTTGTGGTCCCTAAGCTATACTGCAAGTATAAGATTTTTAAGTAGAAAATGTGTGTGATGTGCATCCTAGGAAACTTCCATTTTATTTTTCACTTGCCCTAAAATAAGTGTACATTTCACCAATGGGGAAAAGAATATATATTTTATTCTTTCAGTAAAAAAAATTGAAACATAATTCACTATGATAGACTCTGTCATATTTCTAAAATACCAAAAATCTGGACCAGGAAGGCAATTCAACTTTTAGTCATATATGTCACACATCTGAAGTCTACCGTATGATTTGTTTTTGAGCATCAAGGATGTCATAAATACATGGCTACTTTCATAAATCCAGAAAAAAATCTTTCTGTCGTATGATTAAAAAAAACGAGTTATATTTTTTACTCCTACTATATTTTAAAGAGCTATTATTTTCTAGTTTTGGGATAAGTTTTGGTGAAGACTTTTTAACAGTGTAAGTAACTGAGAATACAGTGCTGTTAGACTGTAGCTCTTTATTCAATTCTTACTATAAATTCATTATTTTGCTCAAATATTTAACTCTATTTTTGTCATTATTGCTGCTACTCACAATTCTATTGACATAAATTTCTTAATACAAATTTTAACTACTTTCTATTCCAAATCTTCTATGGTACTATTTTTAACAAAGACTGTTTCACATATTGAAAAAAAAGATGTTTGCATTCATTCACTCAAAGGGTATTTATTATGTGCTTCTTATATGCCAAGTACTATTTTTAGGTTGGGAAAACAAAAGTGAACAAAACAGACAAAAATTATTTGGCTTATATTCCGGTGTAAAGAGACAGACAATAAACATAATAAGTAAATGAATAAATGATAAGTAAATGCATAATAAGAATGAATATTTGTGCATTAAATGTTGAGTCCTACAGAGGAAAACATAAATCAGGTATATGGAAGCATATGTTTTATTGAAAAAATGATTTTTATGACAGAGACCAAACCATATTAATTTAAAAGTTTATAGAATTCCTAATATAGAAATAGAGTTACAATATAATATTGATTATTATTCAATTTTATTTATGTTTATGTAACATCATTTATTGGGATGGACATTGTGTTGGACACTTTCATATGGAAAATTCATTTAATTCCCAGTATGACCTCATGAGGCAGGATTTATTATTTCAACTATACATATGAGAAATCTGATATGGGTAGATTAAATAATTTGCCCCAATGGATGAAGTATGCAAGTGGCAGAGCTAGAATTCAAGTCCAGATTTTTGACTCCCAATCCTCCTCTCTTTTCACTCTATGTTGCTGCATCAACACTGCCAGTAGTCTATTATAACATTTTATCCTTTCATTTATCTGAGGTGGTATCACGATTTCAGATTTTGAAGTTTTTCCAATAAAAATACTAAGTGTCAAGTTATAAAATAACTTTCAGATAGTTCATCAAATGTTTTGCAAATCTCTCAAGAAGAGAGCAGCAAGTGACTTGGGAATTCATAGTATTAATATCCAGTAACACTCATTCTGGTCTAAATTCAGGTCAGCAGGGTTATAAGTCTTAAGTGAAGTTGTAGTGGTGGCCAAGTTAAATGTGTTCTTCCATTAAAAATGTTATCTTCAAAATTGTAGAGGTAATCAGGAGCTCTTATTTCCAAAAGTGCTGTTATTGGCATTTAATAATTCTGAACTTGATGGTGCGGTTGAAATAATTATGCACATAGTTTTCATTTCACATACTCAGTGTATGCACCTGTTGTCGGACTGGCTAAAACTGTTCTTGACTTTTGGTATTGGGCCATGTGGATTCAGTGTGTTATAAATATTACAAGGACAGCAGCAGTTTGTATTACAGGATAATATAATATAATTCTACTGATTAGCTTATTTCCCATTAATTCTGTATATTCTGAGATGTGTGTTGAAATTTTAGTGCATGTTATGAAGATTATTAGAAAATATGGCCAGAAATTATACTTTATTTAAAATATGTTCTATGTAAGGTATACTAGTAAAAGTTACACTTCTCTTGCTTAATCTAATCTTGATTAGGGGAAAAGATGGGGCGATATCATTCTAAATAAAAATAATTTACAGTTTTAAAATATACCCTTCTCATGTAAAATTCCTGTATTACTTGAGCCAGATGTAATAGAGAGAAACATCCTGGGGTTACAAAAGCAAATAATGTGAGGTGGAAATTCTGGATACTGTGTGTTTTTCTTGCATGACGCTGATACATTTGGAAGCATCTGTCTTCTCCTTTCACCTAGATGCCTATTTATTTACTTTGGCCTTCTACAGGCTACTCAGTTTCCTCTAATCCCTGTGTCCAGAAGTTCAACCTGTATTTGGTTTCAAACACTCCTTATAAGTTTATCATTACCAATAATTACAACATTTGGGGGATTTATTTCTCAATATGCAATTAAATCTTGAGCTTAAATAGTTTTCTCATCAATAAAATGTAATATCCTTTAGCAAGGGGAAATAGCTAATCAATCACGTTCTCCCAAAGTATCATACAGAAGTATGATTATCATTCTATTCCTTTCCATTATATTCATGAACATGTAGTAAGCACCTATGTTAACATCTGCCAGGCAGAGCTCAAACTAAGAAACAGTTTTCCTGACTCATTGCTTATTATTTAAAAAGCTCTCACATAGTGCTTCCCATGTGGCATGCATATTTCTAAGCACTTTATAAATATTAACTCTGTAATTTGCATAGCACTCTTAGGAGGAAGGTATTGTCCAAGGTCACACAAACAGTGCTGGTGGAGCCAGGAGATTTGAACCCAGCAGTTTAGCTCTAGAGTTTGTGTCTTCCTACACCATACTATGCTTTGTCTATTAATTTCCCGGATAGCAGCAGTTTGTATGTAATCCAAAATAGGATATGATTCCTGCCCTCAGAGGGCTTGCAATATAAATCTGTTTATTCTTTCCATCCTTACATATGTTCAAAGATTTTGATAGAGAGCAATATGATTTGTTGATTTACTAAATAGCTTTGTTTATTAAGCGTGTACCACGTGTACCTATGTACAGGGATAGACATTGGAGATACACGAACAATGCAGGCCTGGCTGTTAAGTAGCTGATGAGAGGGAGAGACATAATTTCCTTTCATAAATGCTAATGGAAGTAGTACTTCAATTAAAACCTTGTAAAACGGATAATGTTTGAATATTGAAGGATGATTTGGAGTTGGATGGATGAACAAATGGAGAGAGGGAGGGACTGCAGGTGGAAGGCACAGTGGTGTATAAAGGAGCAGGTTGGAGATCAAGAATGGAGATGAGTCAGAGTGGAATGTGACCAGAGGCAGAGGACAGGGTGTAAGTTTGAATACCCTTGTGTTCCTTACAATGATACAGAATCCATTCTAAGCAGTATGGGCAATCATTAAGACATTTAAGTACTGAAAAAATCATGGTCTTCACAATATATGAAAAATGTTGTGTTTTAGACTCATAAAATGGACAGGTTGATCCAGAGCTGCCATTAGAAGTAATTTGGATTCCTAATTTTGTTTTTTACCAGTGCCACTTCATCTCCCACCACTTCCTTTGGCTCCTCTTCTTTGGTCTCTTCCCTAGTTTGCCCTGATCATCATCTAATCTCATCACTCCTTATAGCAATAAAAAACAACTTCACTTTATCAAGGCTTAATCTCAAGTTTTCAGAAAAACACCCAGTATCTGTCATTAAGCCTTACAGTGAATTTAAATGTCAGCCTATTTTCTATGTGTCAATTCAAAAATTCCCTTTGTTAATGGGATTTCAAGCACCATGTGAGAAAGAGGAGTATTTACACGAGAGAGCAATAAACTATCAAGGGAAGAACCTAGAATTATGATACTTCAGTTAGCACACCTCTTCTCACATTTGAAGACCCATCCTGCCTCACTGAGATGCATTCAAGTTTTGGGAAGTTCTGATGGAGAGAAACTGAAGCACTGTTTATCTCCAAAGAGCTCCAAGATTGCTTCTCATCTCTACCCTTTCCTGACTATGTCTTTCCCATCCTCATCCCCTCTGAGTCTGTTTCGTCTCCTGTGTTTACCTAAAAGAGCTACTAAACGATAATGCAGCTGGAACTACTTTATAAAAGCACAATGTAGATGAAAGGCATTGCTACTAATTTATATTTCCAGCTAGAATTGAGCTCTATATTCCTATGCAGCAGTATTGCTTTAAGGAGCTCTATATTTTAATGGCCTAAAATTTAATAGTGAGAACAGTTTGGTTCACCTTCACTTCTTGCATATTGAGGTCATCTTTGCCCTTGTCAGCCCTTTGGAGAATCTGTCTTTCATTTCTAGAGAAAAACTTAAAGAATAATTTTCTGAATGGCCCTTGATTTGCATTAATGGTGTCCTTCAAGGGAAATGTACTACTTTTTCATGTTGAATCTTTATGCCTTCTTTCTTTTCTTAGATTGAAGAAGCAATTGAGACACACTTTGGCGGTCATGGCCGAAGGGCCATACTCTACAGTCCTTCCAACAGCAAAACAGAGCTTCAGCTCCATCAGCGCATTCTCACAGAGCATGGCTATACGGTTGTCATCGCTGAAGAAAGGCTTCATGCTGGCCTTGGGCAGGGGCTGCTAGAACAAGGTTAGAATAATAAGTAATTACCAAAGTCACTTGACATATTAATATTAAACAATTTTCAGAAATCTGGTACTGTCTCCCTTTAAAAAAATTTACAAAACTCAATTTTTCTCGCATCATAGAAAACTCCTTTATTTTACTTCCCCTCAATTTTTATTTAGCTGTGTCTCTTTATTCCTGAAATTATTTTGTTTATATTTTTGTAGCAATTTGGAGTTGCATAGTTCATGTCCAAACGCTACATAAAAAATGTTTATGTTTATGAGCCTGAATACATGTTCTGCCCAACACCAAACTGCTCCATATTTTAAGAAAATTGCCACTTCATCTGACTGCAAGTAGAATGTGCTGAAATTGTTTCCAGAAGACAGCTTAAATGTGATTCACAGATTGGCTCTAAATATGAAAGAAGTATGGATATTTATCATATACGGCATTACTTGTCAAATACTTTTATTCCTATCATTTGAAGAGGAAAATAAAAGACAAGTTTTTAAATAAGTTATTTGAAGATAAAGTAGAATAGATGATGGGGGTCAAAAGGATAATAAGAGCTAACATCTCTTGAGCAACTAACCATGTAACATATTTCATGCTAAACTCTATATTCATGACTACATTTGACCCTCGTGGTAGCCTGCTGAGTACCCTAAGATTAAAAAGTAGATTTCCCCCAAGTCTGGATTCCAGAAGAGGAAACTGAGGCTTTAAGGGACGAAGTGACTCACTCTGTATCTTATACCTGATGTGAGGGAAGAATGAATGGTGACACCTGTGTGTCAACCTCACTTTCTCTGCTCTGCCTTTTGCTACCACAGTCTCTCTCTTGGCCCGTTGTCCTGCATGGATCTGTCATTATGAGAGCTACAATGATATAGAACACTCACTCAACGTTATACAATATATCTATTTTCCTGTTTATTAAAAGGGGAGGGAGAGAAGAAATTTGAACGTAACTGCTGCTCTCGGCCATGGTTTGCTTTGAGGGAGAAGAGTCAGATCTTAGTGCCACCATAGTTTTCAAAGCAATGTTGCCATCACAATATCCCTTCTTCAGTTAGGTGTCCCCTTGCTGGTTTGTGCTGGTGAGTGATTGAAAGTTGGGAAGATGTTTCTGAGAAGGTTGGAGGGTTATTTAGTCATGACCACCCTTTACCATATTCACAGAGAAATTGTAAGCTACTTAGCAAACCTCCAAGGGAACAGAGCCCAAGATGATGTGCTTTGATGAGAAGAAAAGTTTTAAAATGCACAGTCTGGATCATGAAGGTGGACGCTTGTTAATGACATTTATTTATCCCTGCTTTCCAGCAGTAGTATGAAAATTTAAAGCACTGAGCTTCTGGAAGAAAATAAGAAAAATAAAAGGGAATAGGGAGGAAAGCTCTGGAATATTAAGGAGAACTGAAAACCAGCTTTGCAAACCTTGTAATTTCATTGGGGTTAGCTGTATTGACAGGGACCAATCCAAAGTTCTGAAACATCCATAAATGATATTCAGAAATCTGTTTGGTAGAATGGGATGGTATAAGGGAAATATATAAAATGTTTAGTCTCTTTCTCATCCCACAAAATATTTCAACTCATCACTGAATGGGTGGTTCTGTAACCACTGCATGCTGCTGTGTGAGCTATGTTCCTGGGGTTGTGCAAATTGGCCCTGATAACATGCCACTATTTTCTAAAATTCCTGAATTCTCCCACCTTCTTGGTGCTGCTACTGACTTTCTATGGGTACAACATGGATTATCTGTGCATTTCAACATCAATTTCAATTTTCAATTTTCTGTATCTCAAAGCAGATGGATTATATCTTCTCTCTCCCTTGATGGCCTTGGGTCAGTTTTACAAGAAAAAGGAGGATTACTCTGCAGCTTCCAGATATTAAGGTTGTGCAAAGATAGCCTGAAGGCAGTACAGTCTGGCAGCCAAAGGAGCTGCTGGGCCTAGTAGCACAAGATGACTGTACGGTGTCATCAGAATTTGCCAGTGTAAATGCTGATTTAGTTCCTTTCACCCACATTCCCACAGTTTTTTAAAACATCTACTTCCTAACACTTTCTTTGCATTCTTTTACTCTGTATAATAATGTATTATTTCTGGATAGGCCTCAAGAAAGGGTAGCAATTTCACAATTTCATGAGTGTAAAAAATTGATTTTCAGTTTTTCATTTGATTTTGTAGTTTTTGCTGTGAGAACAATGTGCACTGAATACCTGAAATAAAAAAAGTTGTGACTGTAAATCTAACATTTCCTTGATTATTTATAGGAAAAAAAGAAGCTATTTTTAGTTGCAGCTCATTTTCCATGGCCACAAATTTAACCTACAAATTATGTTTGAATTGAGGTGTTTACTACAAAAAATATTTTCTAGAGATGTGATTCTTACAGAATTTGTTTTGCTTTAGTTTCACATATTTATCTCATGTTTATTTTACTGTATATGCATCAACACAGAATATGAAACTATATTGGCACATTTAAACTCCCCAAGTCAAGCAGCCAAGGGATAGGGAAACAATTCAGAATGATCTGGAGACCCATTCTACTTCATTTTATCATTGCAATTTCCATTTTACTATTGTTAGCTGTTTGCTAACCTGTAATTTGAAAATATTACATTAAAACCAAAATAGATACTTCCATAAATGTTACTGAGTACCCAGGTTCAGATTTGACACATTGATAAAATGCATTCTTGGTCACAGGGCTATAAATATAAAATGTATTTTCCCTATTCTACTTGCTTTCTACTTGCTTCTCCTCTCTTGATATGACACTCAGTTGCTTCTGCTGACCCCAAATCGCTTGTGCAATACTTGAAGACACAGGTAGCCTCTTTCCAACTTGGAGCCAACTTTTTTTTTTAACTGTTTGAGGGCAGAAAAGGATGAAAATTAGAAAAATTAAAAGGACCATAGGCCAGAGAAGCAACAGTTCACTATTAAAGATAACTATAGTGATAGAGTAACTTTTGGGCTTTATGTTTTATTTAGTTTCCTTACTACCAATTAACTAAACACTGATAGGAAAAGCAGGCAATCTCGAGTCCTAAATTAGAATATGGGTATTATCCCCCCCCCCCCCGTTAATTCCATTATAGTAGAAGTTGATGGCTCTATTGGGAAAGACTATAGGGCTGTGAATATATGAACTTAAGCAAGTTAGGTTCTCTGAGCCCTAGTTCTCTTATCTGTTAAAGGAAGTAATGATATTTATTTCAGGGTAGTATGGGGTGAGATTTTAATCACTTTGCCCAGCCCCATCAGAGTTCTGGGAGGAGACAAAGTAAAGTCAAGCCAATATTTTATCTCATTCAGTAGTCTAGGAATGAGGTCCAGAATTTTATATGTTAAAAACGGATGCAAGTATAAATTCTTAGGTATTACCCAGTTTAGGGAGCACTGTTTTGAGGGATATAGTATTGGTTCAAAGAGTAGCAATTTTTAGAGTCAATATTGGAAATAAAATGATGCAAAAGTCTGTTTGCACTACTTATGATTTAACTGTATAGGCATTTACAGCCAGCATTTCAACTTTAAATTGATTTTGAGAACTGTATGAGGACAATTGTCTTTACAGATTTAGGCCTACAATATGTAACAGAATGAAAATGTACACATTTATGGTCTTCCAATCCTTTGCTTTGTAAAACTATATCTTTATGTCCCTGTGTTTGTGAGAACATATAATTCTGTAGAGCTGCGGTCCCCAACCCCCAAGCTGTGGACCAGGCCACACAGCAGGAGGTGAGCAAGCAAAGATTTATCTGTATTTACAGCTGCTCTTTGTTGCAGCATCACCATGTAAGCTCCATCTCTTGTCATATCAGTGGCATTAGATTCTCAGAGGAGGATGAGCCCTACTATAAATTGAGCATGCAAGGGATCTGGGTTGCTTGGTCCTTAAGAGAATGTAATGGCTGATGATCTGAGGTAGAGCTGAGGTGGCCATGCTAGTGCTGGGGAGCGGCTGCAAATTCAGATTATCATTAGCAGAGAGGTTTGAGTGCACAATAAACATAATGGGCTTGAATCATTCCCAAACCATCCTCCCCCTACCCCAACAGCCTCCCCTTACATGAAAAATCATCTTCCATGAACCAGTCTCTGGTGACAAAAAGGTTGGGGACCACTGCTCTAAAGAAAAAGAGAGAAGTACCATCCAATTATTCTCTTTCCTATCATGTAAGTGTTATTTAGTAAATCAGTGCTTCAGTCAGAGTAGCCTAAAGGAGAGTAAACGTTTTACAAAAGTTTTTCAGCTATTCCCATGGTGAAATGTAGTACTCAGAGTAAATTTTTATCACTGGCTAAGAATTATTTATGTATATTTGAAGAGTAGTGCATATTTAGCAATTTTCTGTCAGTTTCTGAATACATCTTGTACTTTCAAATTTTGTATTTTATAACCCATGTGAAAAACAAAATGCAAACCTGCAATCAAAGCTATGGAATTGGAGTCACTCTTACAATTTCAAATTGCTCTTTTTTGTAGCTTGAAGGTTTTACATAGAATGCTTTTTGAAGAAATACAAAAAGTAAAAGACCATATTATTTTCTTGCCAAGAGCTAGCAATCTGTAGCTCACTGGCCAAATCTAACCCACAGCCTGTTTTTTTAAATAAAGTTTTATTGGAACACAGCCACACTCATTTGTTTTTGTATTGTCTTTGGTTGCTTTTGTTCTACAAAGGAAGAGTTGATTAATTGCAATGGAGACTGTATGGCCTTCAAAGCATAAAATTTCTATTATTAGGCCCTTTATAGAAAAAAGTTTGCTTACCCTTGTATCTAGACTAATTCTATGTAACTTGATCCTATACCAAGCTGAAGATTAAATTTTGGGGCTGAGATATTTCATTTTTTAACCTGTACCAAACCTCATTCAAAAAGGATTTGGTTGTTTACAATAAAACATATAATAACACAATTACTAAAATAGAAATATAAAATCAGGGTCCAAACTGGATATTCCTCTTAGCTACCATAATTTAGGCTTA